TTATTATTATTACTGTGCGCGGTATGTTCTTAAAAGGATTCTCCCACGTTGCTAGCGTGGGCGCAGTGGAGTGTACGGTTTTGTTTTGTGGAAGAATCACCAACGACTTCGCAGGTGCGGAGCTGTCAAATAGTGACAAATACACTTGTAGGCCTACTGAAGTATTCCGTTCACAAAGATTACAGACTTAATTCTTATTCATTTTACACCGATCACGAATTAAATAGGTAAGTGAAATGAAATATTCCGTGGATAGAGGTCACAAGTTAAAGTATTCAGTGAGCAGAGGTCATAAGCAAAGTCATTCGGTGTTTAGAAGTCGAAGACTAAGCTTATTCTGTGAACATCAGTTGCGATGCAGTTGTTTGTTTTGTTTGTTGTTTTTTAAAACTGTCACCACCATTGACTGATAAAACTGATGCAGAAGATGGGACTGGAAGAAAAAACGACCTAGGACAAGAGAAGACATGATGGGCCACTCAAGGACTTGAACCCTGACTTTGCTGTTAAAACTAAGATCATCACAATTTTCTGCATCAATTGCAGATACCAGCTTTTTTTTTCTTCTTATCATTCACATTTGGGTTGGTTTTGATTCGAAAGCTTAGGTAGATAACAGCAGATAAGAGTATTAAAAAGTGTTTTGAATAAGATTAGCTTTCGTGCCAAAAAAATTAAAATAATGAAAACAATAAATACATAAAAAAGAATCGTTTTTGAAGTGAAATAATTTTTTAAAAAAGAATTAAAGAACCAAAACCTGTAATTGAGGAAAACAACACTCGAGAGAGAAAGGGGTGAAATGGGGAAGGTTTGGGGTTACATGGAATACATTGTAATTGAAAAGTAGCTTAAGCTAGATGACAAAGCAAAACGTGACTGTAACAATTTGTTACAAAGGTAAAATATGTGCGTGAGACGAAACAAGTAGATTCTATGATATCAACATTTTCTTCTTTCATTACAGGACGAAAAGATCTAAATAATTACGCTTACAATTACAATAAAATGAAAAGTTTTTCAGAACGCCGCCAAAAAAAAAAATTAAAGAAATTTAAAAAAATTAAAGTTGTATTTAACGCAACATCATG